AACTCCCTCATGTACAAGGGTTCCCATTTGGTCCCAGTATCGTATGTACATGTTGGGAAGTATAAGAGCCTTCGGGTTGGTACACATATAGTCTTGCACATAAAAAAGGATCTTAAGATTCTTAAAATCCTCCCTCGGTAGAGAAGGCTCTCTAAATGTAATTGGTAAACCTATAGATTCCATTCTCATAATTCTGGCCTGTTCAATAAATGTGTAGTTAGGCAGTGAACAAGCTCGGCACTTGGCTGGGTTGAGTCAGAACATGATAACCAGTAAGTGGAACCCTATGTGTGAAGAGCGTTTGAACATCTGTGATGTTATGATGTTCTTTTCTTTGGCATATCTGATGGCATCATTTCTATGAATCGGATTCAGTAGGATTCACTCAATAGAACAAAAACAAGCATAAAAGATCTTTATTAGGAGTCCTAAGAAATATATCTGTTAATGTAATAAATGTGATATACTCTTCATGCATGGTTTTCTTTGAAAAGAAAAATTGTTGTTCAGCTAGAAGTTACAAGGCTCCGTAGCTTTCTCCTAATTAGCTATATCAGGGGTAGGCAACCTTGGCTCTTTTATGACTCGTGGACTTCAACTCCCAGAATTCCTGAGCCAGCTTGCCTACCCCTGAGCTATATTGAACACGGAATACAGAATAAGCGTTGGAAGAGACCTTTGAGGTCTTCTAATCCAAGCCCCTATTGTCAGAGCCCAAACTGCTTATCCTTGTTCTAGTTGCTTCCTGCAATAAATGGGGGAGATGTAAGATAAATTACTTTAGAAGTGACTACCCTATCAAAAGCAGGTATTTGTCACCCTTTGAATACCACAATGAAAAACCGTATCACAGAATCAGATGATATAAATCTTGCTTCTCCATTCCACTTTAGACTGAACATGACAATAGATGTCACGAATTTGAAAGTTCTTCAAAATATAATTTTCTATCCTGCTCTTCGATTACAGATAGTCGTTGTTTAGCAACTGTCCTCGGACAGCAAACCTTCACAGTTATGATGGTGATGAAAAAAACAACTTTGGAACCTTTTATAAAGCAAAGGGACCCTGAAGTATGACGGTAAGCACAGCTGCAGTTTCACTTAATGACCATTTCACTTACTGATTTCCTTGCGGATCCCAGTTGTAGGAGCTAAACAAGGACTGCCGGTAAATAATTTCTTTTTCTCGTAGAATTAAAGTTTCCCATTATTGGTTATGAATCATTTAAATAACTGTGTTAATTAGAACTAAGATCACATAAAGGTATCATAACTTTTTAAAAATTGTGAGATACAAACAAACAAAAGTAAAGACAGAAAATAGATTATGGTGAGATACAAGACTGACGCTGAATGTTACAAAGTGAAATCTTTTTCTTCTAGCATAAAACAATCAAAAGAATGAAAGGTAAGAAAAATAATTATCTCTGCAAAATGATGTGCTGACATATCTGAATATTTAGAACGTCTGCTATCTTTCTCAGGTTTGTTGAAGACTTATAAGGGAGTAAACAATTGTCAAAAACACTTACTGTGATATACTTGACTGACATATACTTCTTTATACTGCTTGCTGCAATGACTGCTTAAGTGACTCTTACGCTATGATGTAAATTTGTTTAGGAAGATTTCCCTGCCTATTTTGAACAAAATTAAAAGTGCCAAAACAAAATATTCAGGATTATATGTAAATAATTTCACTTCTGAATACTATCATCTATAATATCATTTCTGACAGAATCCTTTGGTGGGAGATGGGAGGAAGAAAGTAATCTGAGGCTATCCGGAATATATAACAGATTGGGGGTCCTCTGTGGGAAAATATTTCTTCACACCATGGTTGCAATAGTCCAATTTCTTAAATTCAATATATAAGTCAAAACTATCTTCCATTGTAAGTCTAGAATTTGACAGTGGGGCACTGTTTTGCTCCTTCGAGTGCCAAGTTACTGTCTGGGAGTTACAGTATTTACCATCATCATTATAATCATCATAATGTCAGTTTAAAAAGAAAAGAGCCAAGAGAAGAAAGGGAGGAGCTGGAATGTTTCATTTCATGTCTTTGCAGCTTCTACTTTCCCACAAGTGGATATCTGAGTAGAAAAAGATATACTGTAAACCTCTGGTGCAGTTTCCAGGTTTTGTTTGATTTCATCTTCTATTGTATTTGAAGGAATGCAAGTGAAACTGAAAAGCACATGATTTATAAACCGACAGGAAGCATCCTTTTTATTTATTCTACTTCTCCATTATGTCTGTCGATTGAGCAGCAGACTCCTATGTCTGCCTAATGAGCAACATTAGCTTGATAGGAAGCATGTTGTGAGGAGCTCAGAATCAAGAGTAATTTTTCAAAACTAGCATGCAAAGAGAAAGCTAAATCTACCAAAGTAGCTGTTTTGTCTGGCACTGAACACAGGCTATCTTCTCTGATATAAGTGGTTCTAGAGCCTTACTGGGTAAAACATTTAATTGCTGGCAAAATGTTTAATTTGATGATTTCATCTTACTTGTTTTATCCTAGCTCAGTGAAAGAATAATTCGGCTAATTATTGCCGTCGGCTATAAGTATTGAAGGGTTATCAAAATATGCTACTACTTTGGTTGAGTAATTAGACTCCACTCCATTTTTGTGTTAATGATTCTCTCATTAACTAAAGAAGTTTAATGATAAAAACGATTAACAGCGAGCACAAAAAGAAACGTGAGCAACTGCCTAACTGAATTATTGAACTGAATATAGTAAATTCATGTTGGTAAAAAAATGAAAATTAAAGCTACAAGGATCCCTCAAATCAAGGAATTTCCTATGGCTCGCCAGATGTTTGGATGCAATTTCCATCCACACCTAAAGCTGCCATAATAAACTTTTGCGGATGTCTAATGGTTATCAGCTCAGGTGAAACAATTCTCCACTCACCTCTTTTCATATTGGGCATGATTGATGGGAAATATAATTCATCATAAGACACAGGTAATTTGAAATAGAACAAAAGAAATCTGAAGAGCAAAGAAGAAATGAGGTTATGACAGACAGAATAATAGATTCTTTGATGATGAAGGCAAATATTGGAAATTTCCCCTGATCAAAACAATGAATGGTCAAGAGTTTTGTATAAACAAAAATCTATAATAGTTGAGAGACCATATATAGATTCTAGAGGAAAACCTTTTGCATGCAACAATAAAAATACCATTAACTTCATATTTTCAATGCAAATAGTTGCATTATTTTTAAAAGCTATTCACATAATTGCTTAGGGTGAGGATAGTGTTGCTTCTCTCCTGTGTTTTTTTCTCTGTTGCAGTTTAGTTACGCTCTTATAATCTTAGACAGCTACTTTTGGTAGAACAATGCTTTCCATTCTATTTTTTTCTCATTAATCTTGATTAATTGTTGAAATGGCTAATGGCCAAGGTACACATTATGTACGTAAATTGCCTGAAAGATCTTTTTAAAAACAGCAAAATTCTCAGATATTCAGAAACTTATTATATATTGCAAAAAATGGATGAAGCATTGGAATTTTTCACCTAATGGTGAAATCTATGTAATATGCTTCTATTAATTACAGGGGATGTCCGGAGTACTAGAGGGTTTTTATTAAGTACTTGTAAATGGTAGATCTTTCCTAATTATGGATGTGCCAATCATTTATTTCTTGAAGAAAGAAGGGAAAACTTTTATCCTTTTGACCTTGTGTTGCGATTTCAATTTAAAAAGTCCTCGACCTGTACATCTCTGCTAAGAGTTAATATTCTCCAGAGATCTGTTTTGAAAAGGAAGTAAATTGATAACTATGGAGAATCAGTCAGAAATTGAATCTGCATCAAAAGCCAAACTGTGGCATAATTAATTATGGTTCCATTCTGAGAAAATTAAAAACAAAATATTTGATAGAAAAAAAATCAATTTTGAATCCACATTGATATTGCTCATTGCAAGATGTTTTAGGAAACAATCCCCTATTCAGTAATTAAAGTTGAAGAGGGAGGCCAGCGTGTTTATTCATCATTCCCCCTTCTCCACTGTAGAATAATTATGACTCAATATTAATTATATTGGAATAAATTGCAATTTATATACCTATTATATATACACACAAACATACATACATATATACATACATACATACATATACATATACATACATACACACATATTTTATATATATAATACACACACACACACACACATATATATATTTGTATTCAAAATTATTCATAATACATACCAAAAGAAAAAATAGTAATTTTTTTTCACATCTATCCATCTTGCAATATATAGCTATAAATACGTCTAAACTTCAGCCAGGATTACATACTTGATTTATAAACAATATGATAGTCTAATTATTACACCTTGCAGGTATCTAATAGTCACAATGAAGAATGTGATAAATTCTTCATTGTGGGAATGCATTTAGTGCTTTCCAACAGAAAATAGTTCAGAACCTTTTCCTGAAAGCTGTTGAGTGACAAAACATAACTTATAAATAACAGTTCCTAATCATGAAGACTATTCAGAGAGCTAAAACTTTAATTTCACAGCTAATTTTTAGTATCAGAGCTTGCAGATATCTAATGGTCACAATGAAGAATGTGATAAATTCTTCATTGTGGAAATGCATTTAGTGCTTTCCAACAGAAAATAGTTCAGAACCTTTTCCTGAAAGCTGTTGAGTGAGAAAATATACGGTAACCTATAAATAGCAGCTCCTAATCATGAAGACTATTCAGAAAGCTAAAATTTAATTTCACAGCTAATTTTTAGTATCAGAGCTAATCTGCTTTATTCAAAGGGAAATATTATAAATGTTGCTCAAATTTTAGCCACCCAAAAACTGAACTGGCCATCATGAAACTGCCAAACACCCAAGCAAGCAATATCTGACACCAATAAAATAAAAAATTTATTAACACCTTTGTTTCAGAGCTTCATTCTCATTCAGTGAAGAATTTTTAGTTGCTGCTGGCCTCTTTCTTAGCAAAAGCTGGTCAGTTTCTTCCTTCAATTTCTATTTCTGTTGCATTCAAAAGGGTACCCAGGCGCCATAAATAAATACAGAACAAAGGAAACTCATCAGAGAGATGGAGGAAAGCTTGATCAATGTCCTGCAAAACCTTTTTCCTCTCTTTTACTTCATAACAAAGACTGGTTTTGTTCTTTTGCTGCTCTCTGTGTGTTTCAAGAAGCTGTTCCAAAATGTTACACAGAAAGAAAATATTTTCGTACTGTACATTGTATTTGGCTTGAATCTGGGATGGGAAAAAAGATAAATAACAGCATCAGTATGAAATAATGTACACAGCAGCTTGAAAGAAAAAGATACATGATTATTTTGTACATGCATTATTTTATTTATTTAATTTATATGCTGCCCATCTCACTGTCAAGTAATTCAATGGAGTGGGAAGCGATCTTCTTCCTAGTCCACTAACTATCACAGTGTGGGATGCCCCCATCGGGACCCCAGGCCAATTGGCACAGCCAGGTTTTGAGGCTCTTTCAGAGAGTGGGGAAGGATCTCACCTCAAGGGATATAATGTTCCAGAGAGTTGGAACCAAGACAGAAAAAGGTATTCTCCTGAATCTCGTCAGTTGGAATTATACTGTATTATGTAATACTTGACGATACATTACTAATAGTATGTACAGAATGCGCCGAAAAATCCTATGTGAAGTAATGTTTAGTCTATTGGTGTTTTAATTTATGATGGGTCATTCATCAATGTACTACTAGTTAGTATTAATAGTACATTGTTAGTACTTCTGCAATCAATGATAATAAGCAAATGCAGATTGAAAATAATCCCTAGAAAAATTTATGGTGTAGATACAATGCATTCATTAAAGAAGAAAAAAAATTACTGCTTCACAGGAGACAAGTCACTAGATTTTCTTTGTTTCTAATAGATCAATGAAAATGACTGGCCATATCAACTTAAAGTAGTAGTAATATGAGGAAACCATGAATATCTTGATTAAATTATGTATACATTTTTCAGCCTTCATTTCAACATGCTTTTTTATTAATGTAAATGTGTTGTTTTATTGAATGGTGTCAAAGTTTGCTTCTCTTGAATAGCAATGAAGCAAATACTTTGAATACAGTTTTCACTTTCTATAAAGACAACCTAATGGGCTGAAAATGGAGTGGAATAATATCTGACTTCAACTGACAAATGACCCCCTCCAGAGACCTCATGCCACAGTTAAATAAAAGGTGACGGTGTAGAACCTGGATGCAATCTCTTCCCTAATGCCAAAATTGAATGAATTCAACCACAAAACAAGATAAACCAACAAAATACCAAGTTCCCCAATCATTGCAGGTAATCCCGCAGGATACCATGGTTGATGGTATGGAAAGCCTCTGAGAAATCAAAATAACCAGAATGGTTGCACTACCCATATTTTAGTTCTACCAAAAGCCATAAACAAGAGCAACTGATGCTGTCTCTGTATATGTTTGAGCATGAAAACCTCACTAAAAAGGATGCATATAATCAGCCCAGTCCAAGGCCTCAGTAATAATAGCCCTACCATCTTCTGGATAAAAACCGTCCAATATAGTTAGGTTTAGAGAAATATTCTTTAGGAGGGGCCATAACACCACTCCTTTAAAAAAGCAGGGACCATCCCCTCCTTCTACAAAACCCATATTACAACATGGCCCAACCGCATGCCTTCCCCTGGGCTGACTTCACAAACAGGAAGGACATGGATGCAATAAACAGGTGGCTGGATTAGCAGTCTTGAGGACTCTGCTTATCTTCTTAGGAGTTAGCAGGTTTTAACTTATTTTTATTTATTCATTTGTTAAATTTATTTGCCACTTATCTAAATTTACCTCGCCATGGGGCTACTCTAGGCAGCTTACAATAAAAAGGAGGAAACGAAAAGAGTGCAAACAGAACAGAAGTAAATAATAGAACAATAAAAAAGAACAGTTGTTTCAGCTAATCACATAACACCACTTTGATGTGACTTGAGCAGTTGGAGTCCAGTTCTGATCTATGGCCCTGTAGATATTCTTAAGACTCATCTTTCTCTAGCAGAATACCATAGGAGTCATTTTAAAAGGTCTACTGGACAGCTACCTGCAGATGTGATTTTAAGCAGAAAAAAAACTAATTTTTGCCATTCTTATCACCGCAATATAATCCCTAACATGGGGTCTTATTTGAGACCCTTATAGTCCTTATCTCTGTTATAGAAATTTTATTATTTGAAACAGTTCATTGCCTTCTATTGATACGAAGCTGCGGTTTTTTCCTATACTTATTGCAATTTAATTATCACAGATTAGCAGACATTTTTACTTGAGTCTTTTGTCCTTGAAGCGGGGTGGCTCTTGGTTATTGATATACCCGACATCTCTGCCCTGAAACTATGGCTTTCAATTTTAACTCTTACATCTTGAACCTCTGGTAGAGAAAGGCATGGCTACCCACTTTTCCATAACAAAGAAGATTGAATAAATAAGTATAAAAGATGATAGTGTGAAGTAAACTGATATGGAATTTACTCCAAATAGGATAATAGGATAACCTATTATAGGTTATATAGGATAACCAAATAGGATAACCAGAATAATTTGTAGTTCCTTAAGAAAAAAATCTGCTATAAGGTTTACCAGCCTATATTAATTATTGTTTCATAATAAAACATGGAAACTATAAAACAAATATAATTTAAAAACAAAAAAATACACATTAGTAAATTTTCTTTATTTATAACTAGCTGTACCCGGCCACACATTGCTGTGGCTCAGTCTGGTTAAATGGAAAAGAAAGAAAAGAGAAAGTGCACGTTTGTAATATGTTTACGTCCAACAGATGGCGCTGTTTTTTTAAAAAAAGCATGTTTTTACCTGTCACAGGTGTGACATCTATATAATATAAAAACACACGCGTATTCAAATGCAACGTTGTGTCAAAATTTCAAAGCAATCGGTGAAGAACTTTTGGAGATTTAAGATTTTGAACAAACGAACATTTACATTTTTATTTATATAGAATTACATTGCCAGGCACTATTTCTTTGTTAAAATTTGCTGGTTTAAATAAAGTATTAAAAACCATTTTAAAATGAAACAAAGTTCATGCAATTTTACATGTATTATCCATTTGTGGAGAACAATTAACCTACTTTTTGACACAAGAGTTTGAATTACACAGCAATAATATTACAGGAAAGGCATATATAGCAGACCCATATATTTGTAGTTGAACGTTTGGAGTGTATTCAAGAATGCTGAAAGGAAGGTATGATTAATCAGCCCATTGAACAGATAGAAATGAAAACAGTCCTGTGAAAATTAATATTTAAGCTTCCTGTCCTCCTGATATTTTCTTTATTAAAAGATTCCAGGTGGTTGAAAGTAGATTACAGTTCTAATTCCAATTGTTACTGAACAAAAAAGCCTGACACAAAGTTTCTGCTAGTCATGCAAAATGTCTGCTGACTTGAAAAACTACTTATGCATATATATGAAAACATTCCCAAGGTAGCTATTTTAGGAATAGGTAAAGCTTTTCAAAAGCCATTTTGTGAGTGCACCCATAACTTATTCTCAAAATTCCAAATATGCCTATCAGTCTAAAAAGGTGGTGACTCCTTTTATGAAATTTTATAATTAATTGGTTGCTGTTGAAAGATTACATTAACTATATGCCCTTTTTTTGAACTAGTACAGCATTTCAAATATTTTGTTATTTGTTATGACTGTCAAAAATACTTGATTTTTCCACTTTAAGAAGACTGTTATTTATAGCAAAACAAAATTTGCAAATTTCATCTTTCTCAATCAAATTCTTATGTAATCTTCCCCACCCCAAAAGAGGAACTTATTGTATATGCATCTCTCAGTAAGAATTGCATTAAATAATGCAATTTAGTAAGAATGGTAGTTCAAGGTTGGATGGTGATGATATGCCAAATCCTTAGGAAGGAACTCATAGGTGGACAAAAAAACCAAATCCAATCTAAATGTCTGGCTGTGTGGCCAACCATAATAATAATACTCCAAGAATCATATATCTAACCACCTAAGCCTATTTTTTGATTACCTGGGATTTCTTTAAGTATCAGTTTTTTCTCCAACACTTTGTGCTTCACATTGTTTATCTAAAACATTTAAAGCCTAACTTCATTTTTAGCACTTCCACCATTATTCAATATTAATCTAATATCAAGTAACTTGTTTTTCTTGTGATTGAAGGTATTGAACCACAATATTCCTTAGCACCATGGTTCAAAGGCATCGGTATTTCTTCAGCCTTACTGGTGGTTCAGCTTTCACAGCATATACTGTATTACAACTGGAAAGACCATAGCCTTGACAATATAAACCTTTGAAGAAAGGGATGATACTCTTTTCTTCCATTACAGAGCACGCTGCCAATTCTCCAGGATTTTCTCAAAGAAAATGCATTAAAATTTGATCAGAGCTTGCTTGTTCCTTCAGTACTCTATCTTGCATTTTATGTAGCCAGGAAGATTTCAACTCATTCAATGAAACAGGTATATTGCATATATGTCAAATTTTCATTCTGGAACCTGTGAAGAGCATTGTTGCTATTTATAATTTTCTGATAGACCATAAACTATGATGTTGAAGAAGACCGAGGCAAAGTAGAGGTTAGGTAGATTTGCCTTTTCTTTGTTAGTATTTTTCTCTCTTAGCTGAGGAGCTAATATATTTTCTTCTTGCTCCATTTATTCTGAACTTATCTAAAGAAGTTTTAGCTTTCCTTCATTACCCTCACATCATTTGGAACATTAACTTTCTAGACCTGCTCTCTACAGTTTCAGGCTACTTCTTTCGTGACTTGACGTTCTTTTCATCTTCTATATATGTCTACTTTTGTTTTCAGATCTTCAAGAAACATTTTGTGCATGTACACTGGCTTCTTCTGCTGTCCTCCATTTTTTCTCATTTAGATACCTGCAATTATGCTTTTATTGTATCTTTTTTAAGGAACTCTAATTAGTCTTAAGCTTCTTTTTTCATTAGTTTCTTCCCAATTTCTACTTATCATTTCTCTTAGTTTATTAAAATCTACTTTTCTGAAGTCCAATATCTGCATTTAACTAGAGTCAACTTTAGTTTCCTTTAAAATTTCTAATTCAAACTGTTGAACATCACATTTACAGTACAGCACTGGGATACATCAACTAACAACTTGTTAAAATTAAACCATTTAGTTCCAATACACTTGAGATTGCCTGCTATGGTTCTCTCTTGCTAGTA